ATGGAAAGATTACAGGGAATCCATGAACTTGGATAGGAAAAAAAAAACATTTTATTTTTCCTTAATCACTAACTGAAATCTAGCATTTCTTTCAATTATTTAGGAAACATTTTGAGAAGGGGTCCACAGACTATCAAAAGGGTCCTTGATACAAAAAATGTGAGGATTATTAGAGGTTGATGCACAGTGCTACCCAAGGTGGCTAAGATGGCTCAGAGGTGTTGGGAGAGATGGGTAAACATGCCCTGGGCAGACCAGGCTCACTGCTACTGGAACAACATCACTGCCTTATCTCTACTACCACCTAACCTTTCTTCATGACATTTTTGCTATTTAATACCTATGGAAAAAAAAGAGAAATTTTGGGGGGAGAATACACTACCCCATTTTCTATCATGCAAGCAGAATTTTATTTACGCTACAATAAAGCTTTGGTAATTCCAGAAGCAGAGGGACTAAAAAAAAATAAAAACAAACTACAAAATAAGGTTCCTGATTACCCATCATTTTGTATTTGCGGGAGATAGCAGTGTATAGTTACAGATATAGATACACAATTAATTCTTGATTATGAATACTAGCCAAGTATAACTGATAAACACCCTTATGGTTAAAAGTAATCTCACACTCCCCCCAAAACATGTAAGCACGTTTTTACATATGTATGAATAGACACATACTCAAATGCATCTGTGGTTTACTGATCTAGGTTTGTGTCCACTGGCAGATCGTAACCTACCCATGTCATTCTTGTCCACGTCTACCCACATTTGCTCTAAAGGGTTCACCCAATAATATGCTGGGAGTGTTTTTCTTTTGACAACCTGAGGATAACAATAAAGCACATGGGTTTTCCAGTGGTTATTTATTGCTCTTGTTACGTTGACAGCTGTTTTCGCTCACATATTTCTTTGATGACATCCTTTTCTCCAGGTCTTACAGTTTCTTGTGAGTAACATATTTACCCTACTTGTAGTACCAGTTGTCTTTCCATTGCCCTCTGGTAATTCTTCGGAGACTGTGGTATTCCATAACACAGAACCACTATGACAGTATTGGTAGAATAGTGGTATTAATAGAGAAGAACCTTTGTTCCATAGAAATGTTTGGGACCATAAAGAACTTGCCCACAGGCAATCCACTCCACCCCTATTTTCGTAGAGCCTTGCAAAGTACCATAGACTGGATACGTGGTGATGAATCCTTTGGTCATGGCAACCCATGAAATCACTAAAACCACAAAATAACACTTGGTCCTGTAGATTGCATCATTATTTCTGCGGTGTAACTTATATGTAACTCCCAACTAATTTTTTATCTATGACTTAACTGAAAAAAGGTTCTCCATTCCGGCTCTGGGTGGAATGTACAAAGGAGAAATATTTCTTGAAGGTTTAACCTGAAAATGAACATGGTTCTGAAAAGGCTGTTAACATTTAAGGTATGTAAAAATCATACCTCCTAATTTTGACTAGTCACAATTCTCTTAATAACCACTGGCATTTATATGAAAACAGTAATGAACTAAAAAAAAGTAAAATTAATTTACATGCAATACAGAGAGAATAACTTATGGACAGACTAATTTACTCTAAAAGCAGAAATCTTCCAGGCCATAAATAGGTGCTTCTGAAAAAAGCAGCATAAAGTAGGAGAAAGAAATAAGAAAACTGTTCTGTGTTTTAGCAGCTCCTCAAGAGTAATGGGACTACGGGTAGCCACTTCTCCCAGGCCTCAGCACTTTTATTTATAAAATGAAGATAATATCCCTATCACCTGCCTCCCCATAGAAATGAAAGTGCTAAAGAAATGTGATCTTTATTATTAGCTACTGAGTTTAAAAAATGTTTCCTCTAACAGCAGATCTGTGATTTTACTGATAAGTACAAAGTCCTTCACTTACCTGCTGAATAAAGAGCTTGAACTCTTTCCAAATACTCGTTTATTTTATCTTGAATATTTTCCAGGGTTGATCCTGCCATCCCAGCATAAATTAAAGCTTGTGCAGCTTCCTAAAAACAAAACAAGACGTTTTTTAAAAGAACAAAAAACAAAAAAAACCCCATTGCTTACAATTTAAAATATCTTTAAATGTTTCCATATTCAACATTCTCACTAAACCGTCAAAATTATATTATTTGAATAAATTTTTCAATTTAGTATTTCTTTCCCATTAGGAAGTAAATAATAATCTGGTCAACTAATGCTTTTTGTTCACTTTCTACTAACTTCAACTTTTCTCTGTCATCAAAGTACATTCTTTAAGTGTGTGGGATTGTATAGGATAAGTTTTCTTAAAGTAATAGAAATGTGTATGTTTAATCATTTGTCTTAATCAATATCCCTAATCTGATACACAAGTTTTCAAAATATGGGGAAATTAAGCATAATTATTACAAACTACAAAATAATATTAAAAACAGTCTAAATAGACTTATTTAGATGACAAGAAACTATATTGTTAGTTGATAAATTTCCATCATTTTCTTCTAGCAAATGAAGGACAGTTCATTTTAAAGAGGCCTTTTCTTGTATTAGATAAATTTAAATAGAACACCTTACATAATTTATTTTTGTGGTGGGAATTAAATGGACGAATTAAGTGGTTAATTATACTGTATGTACTCACTGCTACTCGACATTGCCAGTGGTTCTGCTGCCAAGCATGGGAAAGGAAGAGGGGATCTGATAGGTTCCTGTGACATGTACGAGAGAGGAGCCTATCTGGTACAATAACAAGTCATTGCAGGTGAGAACTACAGTAGAAGCTTACTGCAAAAAAAGATGCGCACCTGAACCCGAAGGCCCTCTTTGCGTTCAACAGGCCATTTTTTGCATCTAGTAATTCTAACGTTCTCAATATTGTGAAAATAATGTTACATTATAACACCAAAGGCGCTGGCATTGCACATACAGAAAGAATAGGGAAAATGAACTACCTGAAGTGTGTGGGTTAAATACCAAAACTTGTGAGAAGAAAATTACCTCCCTTCCAAAAATGTTACTTTGAGATATACATTTTTAAATCTGGTCTACCTTAGAATTAAGGTGCATCTACACTTAAAAAAAAAATCCGCGATCTCAGTCTACTCAATTCATTAATAAGCACAATGCAATTAGAGATCTTTTGTCAAACTGCTACATCACTGGGGACCGAGTACTGCCAGCGTTCACAGGATCCTGCTGGGCTTAGGAAAGCAGACCGAGTTCTCTGACCGCCGGCAGTGAGTCGGAGGGTGGGAGCGAGCCCTCGCCGCCTGCAGTCATCCCGGTCCGTGTGCGCCCCACGCTCTTTCTCACTGCATTCCCTCGGTCCCCCCAGGAGCAGCCCGGGGGGCGATTAAAGCGCTCTCAAAGCGGAGGCGATGGGAACGCGCGTCCAGGGTCCAGGCGGCAGCCTGGGGAGGGGTCTCCGCGCAGAGGCAGGCATGTGGGGCAGGGGCCGCTCTAAGGTGATGTCGGTGGAGCTCAACTCTCCATCGCCCCAAAACGTCACTCAACTACCGGCTACAATTCAGCCTCCTCCATCTAGCTCGGTCCCCACCAATTCAGAGAGCCCCAAGCCGCCCAAGGTGGGCCGGTCTGCGCTCCCGGGGGCGGGGCACTCCGGGGTCTGGTGGGGACGCTTCGGGGGGGGGTGGGAAGCAAAGGCCGGAGGGGGTCCCCGCCCCCCGCGCCGCGCCGCCCCGCCCCTGCCCGCACCTTGTAGTAGAACACCGCCTCCTGGTAGCGGCCTCCCTGGTCCCTCTGCACTGCCAGCTGAGCGAAGTGCACCGCGTCCCGCTCCAACGCCGCGGCGTCCATGGCCCCCCGCAGAGGCAGGGGAGGACGCGACTTCCGGCTCGGCCCCCCGCCGCGCCTCGCGCTCACAGACGCCCCCCGACGAGCCCGAGAGAGCGACCCAGTTCACTTTCGGCTTCGGCTCCGGCTCCGGCTTCGGCTCCGGCTCCGGCTCCTCCTCCTCCTCCTCCTCCTCCTCCCGGACGTCGCTTCCCGATCATCTCCCAGCGATGACGAGACAGCGGCGGCGCCACCCCCGGGCCACGCCTCGACCGGCCCGGCCCAGCGCGGCCTCACAACTTCCTCGTGACGACGCTAGCTGCGCCTCGCGCACACCTGTCACGCCGCCCGCGTAAGCGCATGCGCAGGCGAACCGTCAGCGGAGGAGGTGCCCGCGGGCCCCGCCCTTTGGAAGCGCCACCTGTTGTGCCGCGCAGGCGCAAACGTGGGGAGGCGAGGGACGCGTGTCTCCCGAGTGCTGGTTTCCCAGATGTAGAGTAGAAGTTCCCATGTGCTCCAGACTGTGTGACCCCGCCCCCAAGAGCGTGCGAGGCCAGGAGCTTGGCAGAACGCCGCTCCCGCTACACAGCAGACGCCTAATAAATACTTGCTGATTGACCGCAACACTGTGGTTTCTTTTCCTCCTTCCCCCCGACAGTGACTGAGGCCAGAGCGCTTGGCTTTGAAACCCAGGTTCTTCCCACGCCTGGTCCCCAACTTTATCTCTTAGGCCCTTGCCTCGGAAACTTGAAAAGGAAGAGAGCAAAAAACCGATCCCTTTGAGATATTAGCGCATTATTTGTATAGGCTTTAAGGTTTGCGAAGCACTTAACAGATATCTCATTTTATCCTCAGGATGAGCCAGGTGCAATAATTATCCCCATTTTACAGCTGAGGTAACTGAGGCAGGTAGCTTTAAGTGACTTGCCCAGGGTTGCACAGTTTGTAAGTGCGGCAGAATTTTAATTAAGGTGTTCCTGGCTCCATCCAGGGAACCACCTACATGCCTCAATGTGACAGTCGCAGTGCGGTAACTTACCCATCAGTTTGTACAGTGTGGCTACAAATTCTTGTCTAGAAAACTCGAGTTTGTTCCAATGCAATTGATGTATTAAGGAACGAGTTAAGCATAACTCGATTTTGAGTTCGCTTTTCCTTCTGAGAGAAACCGCAAAAATGTAGAAAACATCCGGCTTCACAGGAGTCACGCACAAGCTCCGACCCTCGCAATGCCCACTTCCCCCAGCAGATTTCAGGTCTTTTTCAAGGTAAGTGCCATATTTATTGATGTTTTCTGGTGCATTGGAGCTGAAGGGCAGAGAGAGACTGGTCCTTAAACCCCAGCCCCAGATGGAGCAGCAGCCTGGGACTGTGGACAGAAGTAGCCTCTATTTATTATAGTATTTATCTATCTCTTAACCTTTTAATATGTATAAAACTGTGCTACTGTTTTGATTAGGTGCCAATCTTTTTTTTTTTTTTTAATGTGTCTCTGATGAAGGCTTTGAGGATCATGCTCCTCCCTCATCCTATTTCTCCCTGTGGATTTTATTGAGCCGCTTTGCATGGCGCGATGTGAAAGAACCCATATGTCCTGATAGCAGAACTGACTGTATTTGTGAGAGCTGTTTATCTCTATTTTAATGGCACTTGGAAAAAGAATGAGAACATGTAGAATGCACATTTCACAGGAGCCTGGCATTAGATTTGGGAGGGCTCTTAGAAACTGTCTCCTCTGATCCCGTCATTTTTACAGACCAGCAAATAGCTCTAGAGAGGAAAAGTGACCTGTTCAAGGTTGCACAAGGGGTTATGAGGAGAGCATAACTTCAAATCCACATTCTCTGACTGCATCTCAGACCGGCTTCCCATTCAGTGAGGAACCCAGATATTTATCTTGTTTCTCTGGTTTAATGCAAAACACCCTTTCTCTTAGTTATCTGCTGGTTAAATTATATCAATTTTTTTGCTTGCTAATTTCTAGCATTTTTATTTGTTCTTTGTGGCCCCCCTCCATCCCCTAATCCGTCTCCTAGATGGAAATATTTTCATAAGATCAAGTTCAAATACCATTAAAAAACATGGAAGTGCTCATTGGTATATAATGATAGCTGACATTTATATGTAGGCAGCTAGATGGTACAGTGGATAGAATGCTAGACTTCAAATCAAGAAGACCTGAGTTCAAATGTGACCTCAGATACTTGTTAACTGTGTGATCCTGGGTAAGTCACTTAAACCTCTGCTTGCCTCAGTTTCCTCACTTGTAAAATGGGGATGATAATAGTACCTCACTCCCAGGTTTGCTATGATGATCCAATGATATAACGTATCAAATTCTTTGCAAACCTTAAAGCACTATATAAATGCTAGCTATTATTATTACGTAAGACTTTAAGGTCTGCAAAACACTTTACATATATATTGTCTCCCTGGATCCTCATAGCATCCACTGAGAGGGGAATACTAATGATGAGATTATCCCCATTTTGCAGCTAAGGAAACTGAGAGGTTAAGTGATTTACCCATGATGTCAGTCAATATTGGAGCAGTGCTCACTGCTTTGATCTCCAGAATTGCATCTCCTTTGGACTTCAGGGCATGTGAAGCTTTTATAAGGAATTTTGGCCTAACATTCCTGGAAAACAGAACTTCCCAAAGACCTTCATTTCTCCTGAGGCTTTTGTTCTTAATTATGTGTCATTATACAGCACCAAAAACAGACGTTTTTCAGTTGTGTCTGACTCTTCATGACTCCATTTGGGGTTTTCTTGGCAAAAATACTGGAGTGGTTTGCCATTGCCTTCTCCAGCTCATTTTACAGATGAGGAAACTGAGGCAAACAGGGTTAAGTGATTGCCCAGGGTCACACAGGTAGTAAGTGATTGATGGCTAGATTTGAACTCATGAAGAGGAGTTTTACTGAATCCAGACGCAGCATTCTATCCATTGTGCCACTGTGTCCAACCCAAACCATATTGGTGTTAAAAAGATGGGGCCTTTGTTTCAGGGAAAAGCTTGGGGTCATTAAAAGGACAACTTTCCAAAGTAATCCATCCTCTTTCCTAGAATTCTTGGCCCAGCTCACTGTCTGTTTGTAATGTTCTTATAATGATAGGTGAGCACTGAAGGTTCTCCGGAGCAAGTGTTTGTTAGCTGAGTTGTTATCTCGATTCTTTTTGTCCCCTTGCTCTAGCAATATATTTACAAAAGATAAATGTCCGTATTCTATTATTATTGAAATTAGTGTTAGTTATGACATGCAACAAAACATATATAAGGTAACAGCAAAATAATTTAAGGAGGGAGGGCATTACCATCTTCATATCACAATTGGGATATTAGGCATTATTTACCTGTATATTTTTTACTGTCTCTTTAGTAACACAAAACTCTTGAAGGCTTATGGATCTTAAGAGGATTGGAATTTTCTGGGCCTTAATGCCATCAGCACAATGTTCCCTGCAAATAGAAGCATCCAGAGGACCCTGTCACTTTAGGGTATCTCTCTTCAACTTGGACTCTGTTCTAAACTACCTCCACGAGAGTACTGAACGCCTTTAATAAGCGCATCTCCTTATTTTATACCCTGCTAGATGTAGTCGGGGGATCATTAAACAAAGTTTTGTCTGTTGTTACATCTTTCAAAGTCTTTTGTGTGATTTTGGCATGGGAGACACCTTGTTAGAATATTTTGCTCGACTGAATGGAATGCTTTCTCACCCCCCCCCAATAAATAATCAGCAAATAAGTACCTGTATTCTCTACACCTTTTAGTCAATTGTGTGATTGCAGAAATGATGTGGAATATTCCGAGTGAACTTCTATCTGTTTCTTTGTAATATGTGTATCAAGGATGCCTGGGATGCATGTGTAAATTATTCTCAAGAAAATTTTGCATAGATGAGAAAGTAGACACATCAGTTGAGAGTTAGGGACATTCTCTCAGCCATGTTTTTAGATAATAGTAATGTCTGAGATTTTTCTCTCTAGCCTAGCTGTCTTCTCCTCCATGTGCCTTAATTGATGCCCTCAAAATTGTCTCAACTCTAGAACTGATATTTGTGTGTACATGGTGTAATGCATCTATTTCCCCCATCTTTGCTCGTTTCATTGCTATTTCTTCTTTCTCTTCATCTGGGACTGAATGTCATAGTCCAAATAAAATGGTCCTGTAGTCTTTGAAGGTGAAGTGAGTTTGGTATACATTTTTTAACCTCCTTTCCTTTTTCCTGCCTATTTGTTTTCCTTCCCATTTTATCCTTAGATGCACTTAGGATGAGTTTGCTTAGTTGAATCTCTTTTTTTAATGTTTAAATTAATTTATTTATTTTTAGTTTTCAACATGCACTTCTATAAGCTTTTGAGTTTTAAATTTTCTTCACCTCCCTTTCCTTCCCCCTCCCCAAGATGGCATGCAATCTGATATAGGCTCTACATGTGCATTCTTATTAAACATTTTCACATTAGACATGTTGTAAAGAAGAATCAGAACCAATAGGAGGAACCACAAGAAAGAAGAAACAAAACAAAACAGAACAAAAAAGGGCAAATAATGTGCTTTGATCTGCATTCAGACTCCATAGTTCTTTCTCTGAATGTGGATGGCATTTTCCTTCATGAGACTTTTGGAGTTGTCTTAGATTCTTGTGTCGCTGGGAAGAGCTAAGTCTATCAAAGTCAGTCATAACATAATGTAGCTATTACTGTGTACAGTGATCTCCTGGTTCTGTTCATTTCATTCAGCATCCGTTCATAGAAGTCCTTCCAGGTTTTTCTGAAGTCTGCTCATCATTTCTTATAGCACAATAGTATTTCATTACATTCATAAACCACATTAGTTGGATCTCTTGTTGAGCTTTCTTTAGACTTACTTTCCCCACTACTGTTGCTCTCTTTTTTATAAAGTGATACTGTTTATAACCTTTCATTATTATTCTCTGTAAAATTTTACAAATGACTTTAAATTTTAAACCCACACTGCCCTTGGCTGCCATATTTCTCTACTTGTCAAGAAGATCAATTGCTTGTTTCCTGAGCGGGTGAATTGGTGTCTCCGTTCTTTTGGTCTCCTTGTTCTAGCAATTGATTTATAGGAGATAAATTTCAATATTCTATTATTGGAATTAGTGTTAGTTATATATTTAGTATTAGTTAGCATAACAAATACATATCATGCAAATTATATATACAAATACACAAATTAACTGTAAAGTAATTTAAGGAGGGAGAACACTAACAGCAGTCAGTCAAGACAGGCTTCACTTAGAAGGAGACACTTGAACTGAGCCTTGAAGAAAGCTAGGATTTCTAAGAGATAGGAGGGGGAGCAGGAGTGTTTTTCAGGCTTGTCAGTAAAGGTACAGAGATAGGAGATAAGGTTGAGGGTTTGGAGAATAGTAAATAGGTCAAAGTGACTGAAGTGTAGAGTGTACAGAAGGGGAGAGATAGGAAATAAACTTGGACATAGTGGAATCAGGTTGTAAAAGCTTTAGGTGCCTGGTTGGGTGGTTTGTATTTTATTTGAGAAGTCCAGATTTTTGTGCATGGCCATGACTTGCATGGTCACATTTGTGTTTTAGGAAAAATATTTTGGCGGCTGTGTCCAGGTTGGGGTGGTAAGGGGAGAAACTGGAAGCTAGGAGACTAAGCTCTTGTAGCAGTCCAAGTGAAAGGTCATAAGAACCTGAAGTAGGGTGGTAAGAAGTAGGGTGACCTAGAGAGAAGGTGGTGGATGTGAGAGATGGGGGTGACTTGGCTGTTAATGTGGACAGTGAGAGAAAAGGATAGTCAAGGATGACTCAGAGATTTTGAAGCTAGATAACTGGAAGAATGGCGGTGCCCACTGAAGAGAAATAGCAAAGTTTGGAGGAATGATGGGTTTTGGGGGAAATATAATGAGTCCTGCTTTAGATATGTTGAGTATGAGTTGTGGATAAGACATCAAGGTAGAGCTGTCCAAGGGGAAGATGTCGAGGACAAAGAGCCATTAATAGTCTGTTTAGGTGCCTCTTTTTGCCTTCTGAAGTATTTGGGGAGAACCTGCCTGAACAAAAGGATCTTTTGATTTCAAATGACCAAGAAATCCTCCTGACAGAAAACCCGAAGGATGCTCTCAAAACTACTCATTTCTAAGGACCAATTCTGTGTATACCTATGTGTATGTGGTGGGTGCCTATGCTTTGAGGAATAACTCTGCACTTAGCCTGTTATGTGGTGTGCTGGTTAATTAAATTAAATATTCTGTTTAATAGAGGAATCCACATCC